GAATGCAAAGGCACATATGACCCGAAGCTTCTCCCAAAGGGGTATTAATTCACCTCAGGGCTGGAACCCTTGACTTAACCATGGCTCAAGTCCCCACCACTTAGCACCACAGCAAGGGTGAGTCTCAAGACATTTATTTTGGGAGATACTAAAGGCTACCTCAGTGTTATTACTGCATGTGTTCAGTTTTGCTCAGTTATATGGAATTATATACTTCAGTATGGCTTCATCTAGACTAATCACATCTGCATTACCCTTTTTCCAAATATGACGGAATCCAGAAGTTCTGGGAGTTACAGCTTCAACAGGTGAGCATTTGGAAAACAACCAAACCCCTGACAGATAACGATGGAAGTTACATGAACAGATGAACACATGAGCAAACAAAGAGTGAGGAGGGAATCCCAAAGAACACCAGTGCTTGCTCAGAACTGAGACCAACTGACCAGACAGGGAGGAGGAGCATGGTGCATCCTGTAGACCGATTCTGGCCAACCTTGCCCAACAGCGCCACCCACAGGAAGGATAGCCTGGGTGGCATATGGTTTGATGGCACTAACTGGAGGTTCTGATGGAACTGAAAGAAGCTGAAGATTCTGAGGCATGAGATTATTCAAAAAGCTAAGTCCATGGGCCAGTGGGTGAGACATAGCCCAGAGCTTAGTAGGACTTGCCACTGGGGTAAACGTAGGTGGCACTCCATTTTCGTCTTAAAGCTGTGGCCATAGAGCTGCAGCACCTGTGCTGGCAAAGTGCTGCTCCTGCCGCAGTGGTCTCCCCTGACACCTGTCCTGCCTGCCTCTCCCCTCACGTGGAACCTCTCCCCTATACTGGGCATGCTCGCAGCGACACACCGACATCTCCAGCTTTAACAGCTGGAGAAGAGCTTGTTCAGGTGCCTTGATACACCTACACTGTCACACTGCTAGATAACCGGCACTATCTTGACCACACTGCTCTTCCCACTGAAAGCGGAAATCACACATACTAACAGTAAATCATGTTCTATTAGTCACAAACAAGTTTCTCAGATAAAGCCTGTGGTGCCACATCGTAATCATAGTTAAAGACATTTTAAATGAACACCAGCCTCATACTTGTCCAGTTGTATCTATTTCTCTCACATAACACCGTGCCTCACCACTATTTCTCCGTGTGTAGCACATCAGTCTCAATATTCTGTGACTCTGCCTTATACACAAACCAGACTCACCGCTCTGACTCTGGTTCTTGAATACATGCCTCATATTCATGGCTCACCCGTCGCCCACACAAACACCCTTACAAATCCTTTCAGGTCTATCCTACATGCAAATTCCGCCTCAGTCACATTAAAAAAAAAAAAAAAAAAAAAAAAAAAAAAAAACACAAACCAAGCTGTCTCCATCTGGGTCCCAGTGACACACCCGAAGGCCCTCATGGAACAAGGCCAGATGGAGGCGCTGCAAGACAGGTCTTGGCAGGGCGGGGCGGTGGCCCTCCCATGGCTGTCGCTTGCTCCGGACTCTGCCCGGGTTTGGGCGGCGGCTGCAGGCTGGAGGGCGACGTGGAAAGGCCACGTGGAGCCGCCCGGGGGAGGGCTGGCTGTGGGCAGGCGGGTGAGGACGGCGCGGTCCCTATAGCGCGCACGAAGCCGGAGCCTCAGTCGCGCCCAGCGTCTCCGCAGCAGGTGGGTCGGACTCGGGGAGAGGCTGGGGCCCAGCGGGCGGTGGGGGTACCGGGCTCCTTGAGGGTGAGTGTGAAGACCTTCTGCCTCCAGAAGGATGCCCGAGAGCGCAGTCCTCTGCATCCCCCGCTGCGGCTTGGACTCAGCGGGAGGGGGGGAGGTTGGCTCTGGCCTCCTATTATCACTGGGGAAGAGGTCATCCCTGAGAGCAGATAGGGGAAGGGTGCAAAGCGTCCCCCGAGGCCCCTGGGTTTGATGACAGGTCCAACAGTCCCGGCCCTAGGGTTTCCAGTAGCTAGCTAGGGTTCATCGTCATTCAATAGATGGAGATGATTGAAGGGACGCTGACCATCATTCAGCCATAAGTGGCTGATCCAGGTGTGCGCCCCTCTGGCTGCATAGCTGCATTTATTTAGAACTCCCCTCCCTGAACCCGGACACTAGGGCTAAATCAAGGAAGATGCCTAGATTCACATAACTTCTCCACGGTCAGAGTTGTTCAGAAATGACATGGATGCCCTTCATGGTGCCAGCTCCTGTCCTGGAAAGGTTCAGGAGAGACATTATGGCTATTTGACAAGGATACTATAAAAGCAATGTATCCACGAGATGGGAAGCCATACAAGCTAAGCCTCCAAAGACTCCCTGCCACATTGTGGAACATCTGCTGACCCTAGCTTAAACCTATGTTACCTCATCATACCCTCCCGAAAGTCCCTATGAAACATCCTCATCTTAAGAATGAAGACCCCAGGGCTAAGAGAAGTTAAGACACTGGCCTGGACCACATAACAGTGCAGAGGCAGGATCTGACCAAAGGTCCAACTCAAGGCCAAAGTCTCCTCCTGTGAACTAGGGCAAAGGCCTAAAGAAATTGGAGGCAGAAGGTTGTTGTGGGTGTGGGTGTGTGTGACTTTAGTAACTTTACTGAATTATATCCCAACAGTTAACTAGCAGTTTCGGTGGCTTTCAAGTATTTGTTAAGGTAATTTACATTTATGCATGATATAGTTATAGGAAATGGCTAGGATCATTTTTATTTTACAAGCAATTGTTTCTGATATTTACAAAAGCTCTCACAAGGGCTTAAAACTGTGTGAGTATGAGCAAGTCATATTACTCCAGCCTCATTATTGCATAATTCTCTTAAACAGCAGCTGAAAGCATCAACAGAATATTAGACTCAAAATCCACATGTGGTGCTTTTCATTTTTGAGGTAGACTGCAACTGAATACAAAGGTTATCAAGAGGGGCTAGGATGAAGGTGGAACAGGTTTGGGCAAAAACTCTAAAAAAAAAATAAGAAAATGTAGCATGCATGCCATTGTTTGAAGCAGTGTTTGCTATAATGGATCACTGGCAGATGAAGTAAAGATGTGACACCCAAACACCCAACTGAGGACTCTGGACCGAGAAAACAAGGAACCGTTAAAGTTGGAATAGCCAGGTGTGTCGGTGCACACCAGCAGCCCCGGCGGCACTTGGATCAGGAGTTCAGGGTTACCCTCAGCTACGTGATGAGTTGTAGGCCAGCCTGGGATACCTCCATGAGACCCTGTGGAATTTTTTAATTAATTGGTTATTTGAAACAGGAACTCTCTGTACCCTTAAATGTTCTGGAACTCCCTTTGTAACCAGACTGGCCTGGAGCTCACAGAGCCCTCCTGCCTCTGCCTTTCTTTTATGTGTATGGGTGTTTGGACTGCATGTATGTCTGTGTATCACTTGTGTGCAGTGCCCTCAGAAGATAAAGGAGGACAGAAGAGGACAGCAGGCCCTCTGGAACTGGATTACAGAGAGTTGTTAGTTAATATATGGGTGCTGGAAATGAACCAGAGCTCTTAACAGCTGAGCCATCTTTCTTTCCAGACCCTGTTTTTTGCTTGCTTGTTTGTTAAAAAAAAAAAAAAAAGTTTTGAATGGACCGGCAAAATGGGTTGAAGTACTTGCAAGCAAGCCTGAGGACCTCAGCTCAAACCCCATGTACCACAAGGCGGCAGGAGAGAGTCAGTTCCCAAGAGTTGCCCTCTGATTGTCACAGGTGCACCCTGGCACACACAGGCCTACACTCATGCACACATATCCACAGTAATAAAATAAACAATAGAAAATGGTTTTGGAGCAATGGAGTTCTAGTAAAGGGAGACGTATCTGATGCAGTGTAAAGACAGTAAGTACCACAGGCTGGGGCAACAGTAAAAGGCTGGGTGTGTGTGAGAAGGAATTCACTCTCTTTTTTCTGTTTTCCGCAATCCCATGAAAGTGGGACTTGGTTCTGTCCACTACACACACTAAATAGCTCCAATGTAACAGTTACAAATGTGAGGGACTCACGGGTCAGAGAAGAGGATGTTCTTAGCTAGTGAATCTAGTGCCTTCCTGAGTTTTAGGTTCCATGGATGAGAGGTCCTGTTCCTTTGCTTGGACCATCAAATATCTGATTTTTTTCTAAACAGAGATGGGTTGGGGGGGGGAGATCTCAGTTTGGATGGGCATCTACTCCTTGGAACCTCACATTATGTGTACATATCCCTGGGATAAACCAGAAAGTTTTATGCTCTGTTTTTAATGGACTTATTTTATATTTGACCATTTCCGTATAATCAAGTCTGCATAGTGTAGAGACAGCCAGGCTGGCTTTGAACTCACAATCTCCTTGCTTTAGACTCCTGAGTGCTGGGGTTATTTATTTATTTATTTACTGAGGTTTTTGAGATAGGGTTTCTTTGCATAGCCTTGGCTGTCCTAGAACTCGCTCTGTAGACCAGGCTGGCCTCAAACTCACAGAGATTCCTGCTGCCTCTGTCTCCCGAGTGCTGGGAGTAAAGAGGGACGCCACCAACACCCGGCTGAGTGCTGGGATTATAGGGCATGTACCACCACACCAAGCCTCAGTAGGTTTTTCTGTAAGTACAGACTAACAGTCCATCTCTCTGTATTCATTTGATCTTTTGTGAGTGAGTCCCAGCAGTCTAATCTATCCTTTTCCCATCTGTAAATGAATGACCTGTTCTAGAGCAGACATACTTGAGCAGCACTTAAGCAGGGCCAATGGGACACAGGGAGGAGCCCAGAGCTACCTTCTACCATGCATGTCTGCTCTTACCCACTTAAAGCCTGGAGCAGGATTTATGTGTTTTCCTGCAACCAGGTCTTATGTAGAGCAACCTCCATGGGAGGTTGCTGGTGTGCATGTATAGTCCTCCTTGAGCAGATATCCTTTTTCCTATGCCACATGTTTCTCCATGCAATGAGGGAAGTCATTTCTGTCGGATCCGTGTGTCCCCAACACTGTGGCAGACACCCCTCCCCTGACTCTGATTCTGTTCCTAGCTCCAGTCTCAAGAAGGATGCTCCAGTGTCTGATGCAAGTGTTGGTACTGCCACTATTGCTGCTACCTTTGGGTCATGCTGCTCCTAAGGATGGAGGTGCAAGGTAAGAGGGTAGAAGGGCAGGACCCTGGGCTCTGGAAAGATTTCAGGACTCCTCTGAGGAACCAGGAACCTGCTGAAGTGTAGCTTCCTTCAATTATGTGTTCACATCCCAATCTCCTGCCTTGTGGTTATCAGAATGTCACAAGTAGGGATTAGAGCATATTTGTAGACCCTTTTGCAGCCAAGAGTTCAGCTCCAGTCCTGTGTAAAGCATCAGGAAGAAGCTAGAAACTGGGACAGGGGCTGCAATCTGTGAATCTAACATTGGAGATACCAAGGAAAAAGGGATCATTAGCTAACATTTCTGACTTATTAGAACTGCTTTCTTTCTTTTTTTTTCTAATTTTTTAAACATTTATTTATTTATCATGGACACAGCATCCTGCTGCTGGCCAGAAGAGGGCACCAGATCTCACTGTAGATGGTTATGAGCTACCATGTGGTTGCTGGGAATTGAATTTAGGACCTCTGGAAGAGCAGCCAGTGCTCTTAACCTCTGGGCAATCTATCCATCCACCTAGGACTACTTTCTTATACTCAGTATGTGCAGTAAGATTGTGGGTATGAGGGGAGAATGATGCTGGAACAGCCTTGGAAAACTGATAACAGTGACCAAAGTGGCAGCATTAACTCCTGCCAGTTCTGCCATTCCAGGCTGATGTGGGCACACAGTAGCCCCATGCAGAAGTAGGAATACATTCTGAAACCCTAGGCAGACTTAAAGTCCAGGCTGGCATCTATGTCCTCTGCTTGAAAAAGGAAGATGCAATGATATGTCATGGAGCAGACTGGGTCTGTAGGTACCTGGGCATTGTTACCAGCCTTAGCTTGACATCTGCTCCTTGGATCCTGGCACTAAAGAAGCAAAACCCCTACAAGCCATGTCTTGACACTCACTGGACCATCTCATGGGGCCTCCACTGTGTGTCCACTATGGTGGCCTCAACCTTACCAGGCATTTTCTTTGCATGTAAGTGTCTGTGTGCATTGGGGGAGGGGGGGGCGGGAGGCTGCAGAATCTAGAAGACAGGGCTGGGTCTCTTCAAGTTGAAGTTATAGGTAGCTGTAAGCCACCCAATATGGGTGCTGGGTGAACTTGGGTCCTCTGGAAGAGCATCATGTATTCTTAACCATTGAGGTGTCTCACCAGTCCCTTCTTTGGGTTTTCTAACGTTAACTAAAGCACCTGAGCTGCAAAAAACAGTCTTAGGAGATAAGGTTCTATTTCCAGTGACATTGGAAGAGCTTTCTCCTTACAGCCTTTTCTGGGAATTTTCAGGGGCAAGTCCTTTTGGGTCTGGGGAAATCTGCCGAGTGGCTGTTAAGCTAGGCCTTGGGCTGATGCTTCTCTCCTTGTTCTAGGATGGACCCTGAAGAGCAGCAGCAGCTCATGCTCAACCCCTTCCAGCCAGGCCCTGAGCAGCTCCAGTGAGTAAGCTGGAGCTTTCAGTAGATATTAACTGGTCAAGCTTGGGTCACGGACAGGACTCTCCTGACCGAGTTGCCACTTTTTCAACAGGCGCCTGCGGAATTACCTCAAGGGACTAGAGAAGATGGAAGAGGATCCAGAACACATGAATCGGGAGCAAGGTAAGGGGCTGGTGCTCGGCACGGGCCCTGGGAGGCTCCTGGGGACAGAGCTGGGATTGAGTGCTGACTGCCCTGTGAGCTCTTGCCTTATCTAACCCAGATTCTCTTCCCTAGTCCTGCTCTACCTCTTTGCTCTCCACGACTATGATCAGAATGGACAGCTAGATGGCCTGGAACTGTTGTCTATGCTGACAGCAGCTCTGGCCCCTGGAGCTGCACACTTTCCCATCAACCCGGTAAGTGCTGCTAGAAACTGAGGGACTAGCGCCTTGGAGCGTTGGTCCTTTGGTAGACTCCCTGAAAAAGGAAGCTCAGACCCTACGCAGCAGGGACAGGGCTGTTGGGGAAGACCTGGGTTACTGAAAATATCTATGGTAACTGTTTCCATAGGTGATCCTGGTAGTGGACCAGGTGCTTGAGACCCAGGACCTGGATGGAGATGGGCTCATGACTCCTGCAGAGCTTGTCAACTTCCCAGGAGAGGCCCCCAAGCATGCAGAGTCCCTTCCTCCATCTCTCCAGGAGCCACAGCCTGCTGGGAGACAGTTACAGTTAGCTAACAGTCCATTGCAACCAGAAACCCAGCAATCCCTGGAGACTAGAGAAGAAACTAGGGGCCATGTGGAGGCCAAAGAGGAGTCTTTGGAGCCTGAGCATCAGACAGGGACCGAAATAGATACCCTCAGTCCTGAAGGGGAGGTTGGGAGACAGACAGAGGCTGAAGGAGATGTCCCAAGTCCCAGAGAGGATGCTGAGGGACAGGTGGGGGGCAAGGACAATGAAGGAGAAGCCAAAGAGCTGCCAGTGGAAACATTAGATGCCATGAACACTCCAAAGGAGGTTGAGGCTCATAGTATTCAACTAGAGAACGATGAGATATAAACTAGATGGCATGGGCTCATATCCCTTAAAATCTCAGTGCAGAGCAGAAGCATGAAAGGTGGAGTGTGTATGTTGGGATAAGAGCCACCTCTGACGTGGGTATGGTGGCACAAGCTAGTAATCCTAGAACTTGGAAGACTACAGCAGGAGGTTTGAGAGCCCAAGCTACACAGCTGATGGAGCCCAGGCTGGGCTTCTTAGTAAGAGCCTGACTTGATGAGGGGGAAGAAAGCACTCCTCCATCCCCTTTCTAGCCTCAGGAGAAAGCAGGATTTTCTGTACAGCTCAGGGAGACCCTAAGCTGAGAGGTAGCTGTCAGACCCAAACAACCAATAAAGAACACAATGAATTTGTCTCCATAGTCATGTGTTCTTGGTCTAGCTCCCTCAGCTCCTTCCCCTCAGAACACAAGAATCTGGGGACTGGACAAGCTTCTTGAAGGAATGGACATTTGGCTTTACCAGAGTTTCTAGCCAGAGGTGCTGAGCCACTAGCCACAACCAGCTACAGACAAGCCCAGGAAGTAAGCTCAGTCTGTCCTGGGAGCAACACCACTCTCCTGAAGTTCCCTTTTAACTTGCTATTCAGACCTTTGTGATCCCTGCCGCTCAAGGCAGACAGATGGCCCCCACTCCCCAGCTGTTATGGTAAAGTGCATGATTCCACGGCAGTGAAGGTGACCAAGGCAGAGAGACAAACATGCCAGGCAGACAGAGCTTAGTGAGAAGTTTTATTAGGAAGGCATGTGGGGGGAGAAAAGAGGTAAAGAGACACAGAGACAGAGAGGACAGAAGAGAAGAAGGAGACAGGAAAAGTCCTGTCTGCCCCAGGGGAACAGCAGGAAAGAGAGGGAAAGAGCATAAGTGGGCATGGTTCTTTCTTTTAAAGGGGTCCTTTGCACCTGTGTGCAGACTATACAACCATGGAGCTCTGGGGCTGACCAGGGTACTGCCTGAGTGCGTTCTGCCAGGTGACAGGGGCAGGCCAGAATGATGCCTGAGTCCTTACACTGGTGTCATTCCCCATTCCTAGTAATGGCGTTAACTACCCCCCTTCCTTTCCTCTTCCCTTCCTCTTCCTCTTCTTCAGTCCCTCAAGCTATGTGATAACCACAGCGGGCAGGGAGCCTGCTTTCTGGGCCTATGTGCCTCTCTGTCCAAAACTGCCTTTCTCCATGGGTTTCCCAGGAACCTGGAAGTCCTCAGAGAACTTACCTTGAGTCCATTTGGTACTACAACCACAAATATAACCTGACACAAAACGCTGTTGTCCCTTGAGGAGTGCCTGAGTATCGAGAAGGACAAACGGGCTAGGCCACTGATTCCAGCATAGGAAGACTGGAACAGGAGAACTTCAAGTTCATGACCAACCCTGGGCTGCATGACCAGACCCTATCTCATACAGAAAATAGTAATAATAATAATAATAACAAAAACCACTCAGACAGACAATCCTGGCTTAGGGGAAGATTTATTTGAGTATCTGCAGAATGGAGATACAAACACAGAGTTCTTTCCACAGCCTACACCAGCCCAGGGAACACGGCAGCTGAAAGCCAGGCTGGGCAAAGTGGAGAAGGCAATGGTGCCACCTCTGGGATGTTGAGCTGGTGCCTCTTACCACCCCTCTCACACAATGCCATCAAACCCCTGCAGGCCACACTTCCTGCCAGCCACTTGGCAGCCGAATCTCAGGGCCTCCTGCACGCTATTTCCTGGAGAAGGGACAAGTATCAGGGTCAGTCTGGTGTTGGGGACAGTGACAGGCTCAGCCCTGCCCTGATCCCATGCTGAGGGACTCACCCTTAGAGAGGCTGAAGATGACAGAGGCATTGAAGGTGTCCCCAGCCCCCAGAGTGTCTACTACTCGGGGCGGTGGGAAGGCGTCTGAGTGTAGCAGCTGCCCATCAGGGCCCAGGGCATCAGCGCCCTCCTCAGCCCAGGCACAGATGAGTGTAGCCCTGTAAGACCCACTCGGATGGGAGTTAATCCACTTCATCCCCCAGACCCCTTAGGCCCCTTCTGGGCATCCCCACTCACCCTTTCTTCACACGACCATACAATCCTCTCAGGGCCTCTGCAGCTGACTGGAAGCCCAGGTACTTGGCCACATCTTTGCTGACAAACACCTGTGGGCAGTGAAAAGGGCTGGCAGCCACCTCCAATGAGTCAGTCACTACTACCCACCAGGGTTGCCTCCGGGTTATAGCACAACTATTCTAAGTTAGTCATGTAAATGCCTAGCATGGCATTTCACAGGAATGCAACCCACAGGAACGCATTTTATGCTTGCTTAAGCTGTACCAAATACAGCCTTGTAATTGTGACTCTGTGGCCCCAGTATTTTTATTATGGGTTGCTGTAATTCAAAACCCAAAAAGAGCTTGGAGCGCCATCTTGAGGTGAAATCAAACCAGGCTGGCTCTCAAGGGTGGACTCTGTTTGATCTGCTACCCACACAGCCAAACCCTTCAGAGTGGGTTTCTTCATCTGCAAAATAAGGCAACCAGGGCTCTAGGACTCTCTCCAGGGTGGCTTCACATTAGAGTCCCTAGAGATAGTTCAGTTCTGGAGGAGTGGGGCTCAGTCTGACATATTTTTCTATTGTGCACCAAGGCCAAGGAACAGTGTCTAGACAGTGTCCAATGAGATTTAGCTATGATGCAGCGATTATTATCGAAGTTCCCTTTACACGCAACCCTGTTTAAAATCTTCCTTGTACCTTTAGCCTTCCCACCCTCTTATCATTGCTTCTGGCTCTCACAACCTACCACCTACGTGAGAAAAAAACAAAACAAAACAAAACAAAAAAATCCCAAAAAATGGAAATCTTAGAGAAAAGATTCATTCCTTTCTTGGTTTTGCAGAGGAAAAGACTGAGGAGGACAAGCAAGGCAATGCCCATGGCTATCTGGGCCCTGTCCATTCTTACCCCTATGCATTTACCTGAGCAGAAAAATTCTACTTCTGGCCTACCTGCAACTACCATAACCCAGGAGCTGGGACCTATTGGGTACTGGGAGCTGCCAAGCTGTCACTCAGAGCCTGGTAGGCAGGACTAGGGTCCTCTCTAGTTCTCTTAAGAACACAGTTAGCTAGAGATGGCCAAGAGAAGCCGTAGGCCACTTACCACCTCACCATAGCCAAACAGCTGGAAGAGCTCTTCTCGGGGCTTCTCTATCTCCACCGACACCCGCACTCTCTGGGGCAGAGGCTGCTTCGAGTTGTACTGTTCTATCCGCTGCAGCATCGTCACCTGTTCCGACGCATTCCTACCCTGGGGCAGGACAGGTAGCTCAAAGCCCAGCTGCTAAGAGTCCCTTCTTCCCTGCCTGATAGAACTCAGGCTGAGGCGTGAGAGGGGCTGGAGGGAGCTGGGCTGGAACCCCATTGGAGCTGCATGATTCTAGGACTGTCATGGGCCTTGGAGACCTGATCAGCCAGATTTCTCATTTTAAAAATAAGACTAAAGAATAAAAGATGCCAGCCAGGCGGTGGTGGCACACGCCTTTAATCCCAGCACTCGGGAGGCAGAGGCAGGCAGATCTCTTCGAGTTCGAGGTCAGTCTGATCTACTGAGCAAGTTCCAGGATAGGCTCCTAAGCTACATGAGAAACCCTGTTTTGAAACAAACAAACAAAAGAATAAAAGATGCTGGACATTGCACACCTGTGACCACAGCATTTAGGAGACTAAAGCAGGAAGATTATGAATTCCCGGCCAACCTGACCTATATAGTAAAACCCTAGAATGGTGGGGAAAACTAGCAAGAAAGCAAAGAGAAAATGGGTGTAAAGGTGCACGCCTCTGTTTCCAGCATTCAGAGACTGAGTCAATCCAGTCTCTCTGAATTCAAGACCAGCCTGGTCTACACAGTCAGACCCTGTCTCAAAAAACAAAACAAAAACAAAAAAAAAACAAAAACAAAAAAACAAAAACAAAAAACAAACAAACAAGCAAAAACCCAGAGACAGACGAAAGTGAGAGGAGAGGAAGAGAGAAGAGAGGGAAGAGGTGAGAAGGGAAAAGGGGAGGGAAGTGAAGAGGAAATGGGAAGCGGGTACACACCGGGAGAGCCTACATTAAGTCAAGCGACAACCCTGGACTTCTCAAGGCTTCCTCTCACCTGGATCCCAAAACTTCTCCCTTGGAAAGAAAGTTCTAATTCTCTTCAAGTCCTCTCCTTCCTGTTTCCTCAGAAGTAAAAGAAGTCAACTCCTAAGCAGCCAGCAGAGGCCTATACCAGGCCTTAACACAAAAAGGGGGACTTTTGCCAGATGCCTGTACCTATATGGTGCTGTAGCTCCCGATCTTTCTGTACCTCGGTTTCCTCATAGGAAAACATAACAGAGGTGGAGAGGAACGGGGGAGGGCTATTCATTATCCCCATCGTCCATGGCTCAAACAAATCAAATCACGGAAGAGGCTAACAATGTGTAAGGGTCTGGCCGGCTGAGCCCCTAGAAACAGGTCGGGTAAGACTTGCCTCAATGTGGATCCACTTGAACCGGGCCAGATCAACCTTCTCAAAGTCCTTAGCAGACACATCTGGTAGGTTCCTACACCCCAAGACAGGAAGGAAAGGGAAGGAGCGTGGTGAGGTCAGCCAGGGCCAGATCTCTAACAGCTGGGGACCCTGTGCCCAGTAGCGATACCAGCAGCATGGCAAGAAGCTGGGAAAGCACAGGGCTCTGAGGCCTAGCCTGAGCCCTGTCCCACTTGGCTAAGGTGCCCTTTCTGGGGGAGGAGGCTTAACGTTATCTAAGGATAAAAACAACTGCAACCTGTGACGAGCCCCGGCCCCCTCCCCGTGTTTCGTGGAAACAACCTTCCCAAGAATGGGATAAGCGTGCAAAAGACTACATTTCTCAGAAGACCCCTCGCTGGAGCATACAGCTCCCAGCATGCAATGCCCCTGCGAATTACAAAGTCCAAGGCGTCCTGCCAAGAGCTCTCTTTAATGACATCCTCCGGCTGGGAGCTTGCCAGTGACAGAACACCTTGTTCTGAGTTGAGCTCCCCACTTTATCTCTAAGGTTAAAATTGGCACTCTGAGGGAAGAGTTCATGTCTGGCTTGTCTAGGTGTGGAGACCCAGGAGAGCATTGGCCTCCCTGGCCGCATAGCCTGTGTACTCTCTATAGTGATGTGGACTCTTCTATC